TGACAGAGAAGTGGTGAACTTAAAGTGCAGAGAGACATTTGTGGGGTGGGGGTGGGGGGTGTCACTCAGGGCTAGGCAATGGGGTTAAGTGACTTGCCCAGGGTCACATGGTAAGTGTCAACTGTCTGAGGTTGGATTTGAACTCAGGTCTTCCTGACTCCAGGGCTGGTACTCTACCCACAGCGTTGCCTAGTTGCCCCAAGTCATCTATTTTTGAGGACGGCTTACATGGGGATTTGTTTTGCTGGATTATATAGATACATATGGAGGAATTTTAAAATATATTTGCTCAATTGGGGCAGAGAAGATGTGAGGACAGATTAATTAAAAATACATATTACTTGAAAAATTAAAATGCACAGAAGATAACAGAAGGAAGTTCAGAAGTAAACAGACAAGCAGTATAGGTTTAAAAGTAATGTGTGCAACTTATACTTTAAAAAAAGCAAGCAATGGGGGGCAGCTAGGTGGCCCAGTGGATATAGCACTGGCCCTGAATTCAGGAGTACCTGAGTTCAAATCCGGCCTCAGACACATAACACTTAACCAGCTGTGTGACCCTAGGCAAGTCGCTTAACCCCATTGCCTAGCCAAAAAAAAAAAAAGCAAGTGATATGAAATGGAGATTCATGGTTTCACATGTGATACTCTTTGTCTTCTGATATTTATATGGAAATATAATTTTTGGTGTTTAAGAACATAATAAAAATATGAACGGTTTTTTTTAAAAAAAAGGTTGTTGGGCTCTTAAGTCTTGGTGGATGTCCCAAGGCCCTGAGAATCACCATACCCTGCCTTGGTGACCAGTCACAGGTGAAAAATCAGAAGTGGTTTTGGGAGTTTAGATTCACAGAGTTCCTTGGACTTTAGGGTAGTCACCAGCTGTCCCTCTCAGTTCTGCAGTCCAACTTATTCATAGGGACTGGGGACAGCAACACTTAGGGTTCTTACAGTCAATTGGATTGTAAAATTATGGTCTATGGAATATTGCTTGGAAAAGCTAGCCTTGATATGTGTGGAATACTCTCACGAAAAAACAGCATTACATGTATAAAAATATTTTAGAGATACCCTGTTTTTCAGAACTAAGGCCCAGCGAGCAGGCTGTGCCCTGAGTTTGGCATAACAATAATCCTTTGTGCCCTAGAATGATCTCACCCTCTGGCAAAGTGTATAGCTTGGACCAGCACCAGGTGCTCACTAAGGAATTTAACTCCCTTTATTTCCCAGGGCCATCCATCACATGTTCACAACAGCTGTTCCTTGTCACTGATAGGTACTCCATTCCTGTTCCTGTCACTGAACTTGGGTTCTGTGCACCATAAGATGTCCATGACCTCTAAGGCTTGAGACAGTGACTGTTCCCACAGGACTCAAAAATACCTGTATTGTCCCAAGAAATGCTAAGTATAAGAATTATCTCAAGGTGTTAGAATGATTGTGTTGTGGGCAACCCCTCAGCAGCCTTAAGCCTTCCTTCTTAGGAGGGGGGCTTCTGCCTGCAGGTATCCTTTTCCTCACTCTGAAATTAATAAACTTCTGTTTTTGTCCTGACTCTCCTGTCCCTAGCCTGCTCTGTTTCTACTCTGACCAATCACAGGCTAGAGGCTGGTTCCGGTCCAGTTGACACATGGAAGCTAGGCATAGCAATCAGTAGTTAATAGAATCTTGCTAGAGTCCAACCCTCTATACCACTTCCTGGCACTCTCCTTACTGTAGCCCTACTCTTCAACCACCTCCATCCTACTATGAATTTGGACTCTACCCTTTGGGTCTCCAGGCACTGATTGTAGGTGAAGTTTGTCTGATATTGCTGAGGGGGGTTGGCAGAGAGGGCCCGGAGACTTCTCAGCCATCTCCTGTCCCACCATCTTCTGCAACCTCTTCCACTGCACTCCCACCGGGTTCCTCCAACTCTGACAGGTGAGCTTTTACTTTATGGGGACAGGTCCCAGGACCCCACAACACTTCAAAGCAGTATCCTCACCCTTCTCTCCTCCTGTGAGTCCCCCACTCTCCCCTTCCTAATACCCTTTAATGAAAGCTGTATTGCTTGCTTGTATTCGTATAGCCCTCCCTGTCCTCCCTGCCCTCCCTGCTTAGGCTATTGCTTAGACAGGCCACTGCTAGGTCCTCAAGTGAGTCTCTTTGACTGAATCCTAACTTCACAGAACAATTAGAGTCAGTCAAAGGGCCACACTTGAGGACCTAGAGGGCCACAGGTGACCTCAAGGCCGGAGATTCCCCAACCCTGGTAGAACACAGTTATTCAGTCATTTTTAGTGACCTCATTTGGGGCTTTCTTGGTAAAGATACTGGAGTGATTTGCCATTTCCTTCTCCAGCTCATTTCACTGATGAGAAAACTGAGGCAAACAGAGGTTAAGTGATTTGCCCAGGGTGAGTGTCTGATGTTGGATTTGAATTCAGGTCTTCCTGATGCCAGGCCCAGCTGTCTATCCACTGCATTACCTAGCTGCCCACTTAGAACATAGTAAATGCTTTAAAATTCTCTCTCTCCCTCTCTTATAGCCCTTGGAGTGGAAAGCAGTCATAGGGATATTGACAGTGTAGAATCCACAAGACTTGTCAACTTAGAACACTCTTCTTCCTCTTTTCCCTCCAGTCTTCAGATAACTTCTCAGCCAAAACTACAGTAGCCTTATAGCTCATCCAGGACAACTTTTTGATCTTAGAGATAAAAGAAACTGAGAACAAAGGAGGTAAAGGGACTTAACCAGGGTCATACAACCAGTGCCTAAGATGGGAATCAAATAGAAAAATCCAAGACCAGAACTCTTCCCACTACATTATGCCACTTCTGCTCCCCCTTCCCTTTCCCCTTTTCCTTTGTTTTGTACTTCTTTTGTATTTATTTATTTCTGTATGTATGGTCTCCCCCACAATAGAAAGTAAGTTCAGATGCTAGGGAAGATAGCCTAGCCATACCAGATCTTAAATTGTATTATAAAGCAGCAATCATCAAAACTGCTTGGTACTGGATGAGAAATAGAGTGGTGGATCAGTGGAATAGGTATGCAAGACACAGTAGTCATTGACTATAGTACTCTACTATTTGATAAACCCAAAGACCCCAGATTCTGGGATAAGAACTCACTATCTGACAAAAACTGCTGGGAATACTAGAAAATAGTACGGCAGAAATTAGGCATAGACCAACATCTTATACTGTATACCAAAATAAAATCAAAATGGGTACACAATTTAGATATAAAGGCTGATACTGGGAGAGCAAGGAATAGTTTATCTGTCAGATTTATGGAGAACAGAAGAATTTATGACCAAGCAAGAGATAGAGAACATTCTGAAGTGCAAAATGGGTAATTTTGAATACAATAAATTGAAAAGATTTTGCACAAAGCCAATGCAACCAAGATTAGGTGGGAAGCAGAAAACTGGGAAAGAATTTTTACAACCAGTATCTCTCATAAAGGCCTCATTTCTAAAATATACACAGAATTGAGTCAAATTTATAAGATTACAAGTCATTCCCCAATTGGTAAATGGTCAAAGGATATGAACAGGCAGTTTTCAGATGAAAAAATTAAAGCCATCTATACTCGCATGAAAAAATGCCCTAAATCACTATTGATTAGAGAAATGCAAATTAAAACAACTCTGAGGTACCACATCACACCTATCAGATTGGCCACCATGACAAAACAGGAAAATGATAAATGTTGGAGAAGATGTGGGAAAATTGGAACATTAATGCATTATTGGTGGCATTGTGAACTAATCCAACCATTTTGGAGAGCAATTTGGAACTATGCCCAAAGGGCTATAAAAATGTGCATACCCAGCAATACCACTTCTAGGGCTATATCCCAGAGAGATCATACAAATGGGAAAAGGACCCACATGTACAAAAATATTTATAGCAGCTCTTTTTGTGGTGGCAAAGAATTGGAAATTGAAGGGATGCTCATCAATTGAGGAATGGCTGAGCAAGTTGTGGTATATGAATGTAATGGAATACTATTGCGCTATAAGAAATGATGAGCAAATGGACTTCAGAAAAACCTGGAAAGGCTTACATGAACTGATGCAAAGTGAAGTGAGAAGAGCCAGGAGAAATGTTGTACACAGTAACAGCCACATTGTGCGATTACTGTCTTTGATAGACTCATCTGTTCTTAGCATTGCAAGGATCCAAGACAATTCCAAAAGACTCATAATGGAAAATGCTATCCACATCCAGAGAAAGAACCATGGAATCTGAATGTAGATCAAAGCATATTATTCTGTCTCTTTCTCTCTCGTTTGTTTCCTCTTTCTTGTGGTTTCTCCCATTGGTTCTAATTCTTCTTCACAACATGACTAATGTGAAAATAGGTTCAATATGAATGTATGTGTAGATTCTATATCAAATGGCACACCGTCTTGGGGTGCGTGGAGGAGGAAGACGGGGAGGAAAATTTGGGACTCAAAATCTTATGGAAGTGAACGTTGAAAACTAAAAATAAATAAAATTTTTAAAAAGTCCTCTAGGTGGCGCCATAGTGAATAGCGAGCAGGGCCTGGAGTTAGAAGGACTCATCTTCCTGAGCTCAAATCCAGCCTGGGACATTTACTAGCCGTGTGGCCCTAAGTGAATGGATGGAGTGAACAAATGGCTGAATGGAGTGAGTAAATGAATGAATGAGTGAACGAATGGCTAGAGCTAAGGAATGAATGACTGAATGAATGACTCATAAAAGCTTACTACTTTCCTGGAGAACGATCCAGAAGAGGGGACACAGCAAGAGGATCTCCCAGTTATCAGAGAAGAAGGGGGCAGCCCCAAGGGAAGGGGGTCCCGGCTCCCACGTGGGCAGCCAGCCCGGCCCATCACTAGCAGCCTATCCTGCCCTCGGCGGGCTCCATTCCGAGGCCGCGTCCCTGTCTCGGCCGAGCTACATACAGGGTCTCGTTTGGGTCTGTGCACTTCTCCCCGAAGAGGGGAGATACATTCCCTAACACCGCCCCCCGCGAGAACAGCAACATGGTGTCTCCCGGAAGTTGTCTTAGCCAACGCGCTTGCTTGCCCCGGAAATGTAAGGTCCCAGGGCACGAGCCGCAGTCTTTGGAGGACGCAGTGTCCTGAAGCCGGTGAGACAGCTGCGGTGGCAGCCGGACGGGGACGGGGGGGGACAGAGGGGCGGGGAGGCTGCTGGCCCCCCGAGCGGGGCTCTCCAGCCCCGGTCGGGCCGCGCGATCTCCGCAGCCTCGGCCCACACCGGTAACCGTGTGTCTGCTCCTCCAGGGACCGAAGGCGCCGCGAGCATGGGCCGCGAGTTCGGGAACCTGATCCGGGTGAGGCACATCATCTCTTACAGCCTGTCCCCGTTCGAGCAGAGAGCCTTCGCCGACTACTTCACCAGGAGCATCTCGAACATGTTGCGCAGGACGCAGGGCAGCATTTTGCGGGTCGTCCCCCGTAAGTGCAGCCCAGGCCTGGCCTTTGGGGCGGGAGTGTCGGGGGGTCCTCCAGGGCCCAGGCCCCCCAGTGCGCCGGCCTCCTCTGACTCCCTGCTCGACATGCCCCCACTTCCTAGGCTTGATTTCGAGAGCTTAGGGTCTTGGGCAAACCAGGAAGCCTGGAATTTAAAGCGGCCCCCGGGAAGCTGGGGACCAAAGTGGACCCCGAAAGAGGAGGCAGGGTCCGGAGGCTGAAATAGGCAGAGCAGCCCTTGACTCACAGCTCACCATTGTTCAGTGGATGGCATGATTATTAGAGCCTTAAAATACCCTTTTCCTCCATTTCCTTATAGTCTATAGAATGGCAGCCTGAAAGGGCTTGTATTCAATGTGCAGGAAACTTTAAATCGAGCTAAATGGCTCTTTCAAGCTGGACTGACAGTAATAATGGCCTGCATTTACGTAGGGATGTGTGGTTTACCAAGCGCTTTACCTAACTCTATGAAGTTGGTAGTTATCCTCATTTTAAAGATAAGGCTCTCTGAGGTGAAATAATTTGCCCATAGTCACATGCTAATTAATGGTAAATCCTGGGCATGAACCCAGGTGTTGAGACTCCGAATTCTGAAGTAGGAGGGTGGGTGTAGGTGATGGATCTTTGAAGTGAATTTGTATGAACATAGACCTACGAAGAGTGTTCTTTGTCCTAACTTAGGACTGTGGGGCTTAGTTGCTGTTATATTTTTTCTTTAATATATATTTTACTTATTTTTGTTAACCACTTCCCAATTACATGTAAAATTTTTTTGATATTCATTTTTTAAAATTTTGAGTTCAGAGGCAGCGAGGTGGTACAGAGGATAGAGCACCAGGGGGCCTCAGACACATAACACTTACTAGCTGTGTGACCCTGGGCAAATCACTTAACCCTAATTGACTCACGAAAATAATGTATAATTTTGAGTTCAAATACCTCCCTGCTGCCTCTCCCTCCTCTTAGAGAAGGCAAGCAATTTGATATCAATTGATATTATGCAAAACATATTTCCATGTTAGCTATATGCCTGTTTTAGCTCAGGCAGCTAGGTGGCAAAGTGCTGTGCTTGGAGTCAGGAAGACTTATCTTCCTGAATTCAAATCTTCCCTCAGACACTTAACTAGCTGTGTGACTCAGGGTATAGGTACTAGCAAGTAAGTGCTGGGGCAAGTCACTTAACCCTGTTGGCCTTAGTTTCCTCATCTGTAAAATGAGCTGGAAAAGGAAATGGCAAACCACTCCAGTATCTTTCCAAGAAAACCCCAAATAGAGTCGTGAAGAGTCAGACAGGATTGAACAACAGCAAATATTTTAGTTCCCCATGAAATGGATGCACTGTAACCTTCCATAATATTTCTAGGTGTAGGAATGGTTGGTGGAGATGATAGGCATAGAAAGAGGTAATCACTCAGTGCTGCTTTAACAAGTAACAGACCTAGTCTGCTGTAGTCTTGCTAGTCCAATAGTCTTTTGTGTGTGCTTACTACTTTTCTTTGGTTTTGGTTCTTAAAGCATTTATAGCCTTTTACTTCCTCTATACCTGGGGAAACCAGGAGTTTGAGAACTCAAAGAGAAAGAAGCCGATGGACTTTGAAGAAAACAAATAAGAAACAAAGAGAGAAGTGCAACAGTCTTGGTTCCCTGGTGCTCAGCTCTGTGACTTGGGGCACCGGTAGAAGAAGAGTGTATAAAGATATCTTGGAGATAGAATAAACTTCACATTTCACAAACTGTAATAGTGTGGGCTTTTCCTTCTGGTTTTTTACTTTTGAAATTAAAAAAATTACATTGGGTAAAATATTCCAGAACCCTCACCTAGGAGGTCCTTCATATGCTAACATAGACACCTTCCCTTCCCTTGCAAGTACCATCCATTCAGCAACATGTATTAATTGTCTGCTATGTGTCAGCATATGTATGCTAAGTACAAGGGATACAGAAACAAAAGAGGCCTTGCCCAAAAGAAATTTTGGAGAGAATTAGCAGAAAATTAAACATAAAATATCTACTAAGTAATTTCTGTGTTGGTACTAGCAACTGAGTGAGGGGAAGTGGGGATTGTGATGAACCTGCCTTAGAGAAAACCTTGAAGGAAGTCAAGGATTCCATCAGGTAGAGGCAAGGAGGGAGTGCCTTCCAGCCATGTGGGACAGTCTATGCAAAGGCATGGAGGTGGGAGATGCAGTGTTGTGTATAGGGAAAAGAAAGTAGGCCCATGTAACTGGAATGTAGAATAATTTGCGATAAGCTCAAAAAAGAAATTGTAGCCAGATTGTGGAGGACTACAAAGCCCTGGGTTTGCATTTTATTCTAGAACCCAAAAAGAGCCTTTATAGCTTCTTTTGCAAATGACATGATCAGACTTGTGCTTTAGGAATATTAATTTGGCCGCTGTGTGAAGGATGAATTAGAGAAGAGAGATTAGAGGCAAGAAAATCAACTGGTAGGCTATTGCTGTGCCCAAGAGGTGATGAAGGTCTGAACCATGGTGGTAACCAAGCGAGTAGTGAGAAGAGGATGGATATAAGATAAAACGTGAAGGTAGAATCAGCAAGACTTGGCAACTGATCGATGAAATATGAGGTATGTAAGAGAAGTGTTGAGGATGACTCCTGGTTGTGAACTTTGGTACCAATTGGTAACCATGGGAAGAGCACTTTGAATTGTGCGATAAGGTTGGAAGCCAGATTACAAGGGACTAAGAAGTGAATGGGAAATGAAAAGTGGAGGTAATGAGTGTTGATAGCTTTTTCAAAGAATTTGGCTTTTAAAGGAGAACTATGTGATAATATCTTTTTTAACATTTTTTGTTTTCAACATTGACTTCCAATAAGATTTTGAGTTCGAAATTTTCTTCCCTTCCTTCTGCTCCCCAAGACAGCGTGCAGTCTGATACAGGCTCTACGTACACATTCATGTTAAATATTTTCACACTGGTCATGTTGTAAAGAAGAATTAGAACCAATGGAAGGAACCATGAAAAAGAAGAAACAAAAACAAAAAAGAAAGCAAATAGCATGCTTCAATCTGCATTCGGACTCCATAGTTCTTTCTCTGGATGAGGATAGCATTTTCCATCGCAAGTCTTTTGGAGTTGTCTTATATCCTTGCACTGCAGAGAAGAGCAGTCTATTAAAAGAGTCTAAGTTGGTCATTGTACAATGTTGCTGTTACTGTGTACAATGTTTTCTTGGTTCTGCTCATTTTACTCAGCATCAGTTCATGCAAGTCTTTCCAGTCAGGTGATTATCTTATCCTTGATCCAATATTGATCTCTAATAGTCTATTTGAAGACAGTGAACATTTGTTTTTCAGTCATTTTTCCAGTCATGTCCAACTCTTCTTGATCTCATTTGGGGTTTTCTTGGAAAAGACGCTGGAGTGGTTTGCTATTTCCTTCTCCAGCTCATTTTACAGGTGGGAAACTGAGGCAAACAGGGTTAAGTAACTTGCCTAGGGTCTCACAGCTAGTAAGTATCTGAGGCCAGATTTGAACTACGGAAAATTATTCTCCCATCGATCTAACCACTGCGCCACCTAGCTGTCCCAGGTACAATGAACATGTCTTCCCTTAAATCTTCTGCAGGTTAAACACTCAGTTTTCATTGGTACTCACATAACATGATTTCCATCTTGGTCACCATTCTGATGCCTTATGTATTTCCTTGAGATTTTGCTGTATTTATTTTAATAATCTGTTTTATATAGTAAACATATATAATAATATATATTAAACATATAGAATAAACATAAAATAATATGTTTTGTATCCCTGGAAAAAAGCCTCTCTGGCAGTATGGAGATTTATCTAACCATTTAAACTAGAAAACCAAAGTGATTGAAAAGCACGTTGCCCAAACTATGATGTACAGCTGGATGGATGGGAACCCTGTTGAGTTAGCTTATCAAGATACATATCTTAGACAGGTGTTACAGATAAGATAATGAGCTAGGGTGAGGATTTAATTAGGATGAGAGCAGACTGGATAAAATTTAGGAACATGTAAAATGCTTTCAGTCATCTTAACTGTAATCACACACATACAACATCATGGCACAGTGGGAAGACCACTGGTTTTAGTCAGGGACCTGAGTTCAAATCCCACCTCTGACACTTATCTGCCATACCTTGAACTAGTCTTAATCTGCCTCCTTCAGTTTATTCTGTAAAATGAGTGAGTTGGAACGACTGGCCTCTAAGGTTCCTTTCATATTCCCACAAGGAAATGGCATCATAACCAAAGGGGTCTGGGAAACCGCAGGCGACTGGACTAAAGCCACCAAGGTCCTAGTCCTAAAGGTCCTAAAGCCACCAGGGACCTAGGACTGAGTTCAGTGCTAGGTAAGTGCACAGGGAACTGAGTGGGGCCCCATGATGGGAAGCATGAGGAAATCAGGCTGGTGCCACGCCACATGCCTGTGGTGGCCCCAGTCCGGGACCTTTGCTAGGTAAGTGCACGGGGAACTGAGTGGGGCCCCATGATGGGAAGCATGAGGAAATCAGACCGGTGCCATGCCACAGGCCTCTGGTGGCCCCAGGAGATCAGCTTAAAGTTCACAAGAGTTCAGGTGGGGCCATTCCAGGGTCTGAAGCCCGGGGCAAAGCCCGAATGCCACAAACCCTCCAGCAAGGTGTGCACGTGATGTCTCAACAGCCTGACCCCCTGGAGACTCCACAGGAGGCCAGACTGAAGCCACAGTGATATGGGTTGGGCCTTCCTAGGAGCCTTGTACAGATAAATCTGTAAATAATAATAATAACAGCAACAATAGCAATGAGACAGTTCGCCAAAACTTGTGGAATGCCACATGCTGGAATATGGCCAAAGCAGTACTTATGCAAAAGTTTACATGTTCATCAACAAAAGAGAGAACTGGGGTTTGCTGTGACTGCCTCTTGGGATGATTGAAAGCAGGAGCATGCTGAGGTGAGCTTGAGCTGGCTTGTAAGAGCCAATTGTTCAGTTTTCGGCATGAGCATTTACATCTTGGAAATTGGCAAATGCTACAAGTCAGAGTTGTGTTGATTTCTCAACTTAAAGTAATGGAGAAAATGTTAATGCACATTAAATTTAAAAGTGTTTGTACATGCATTTTTCCTCCAGAGATTGTTAAACACATACAAGGGCAGCTAGGTGGTGCAGTGGATAGAGCACTGGGCCTGGGATCAGGAAGACCTCGGTTCAGATTCTTTCTTGAACACCAGCTGCATGACCCCAGTCAAGGCACTTAGTCTTTGCCTCAGTTTCTTCTTCATCTGTAAAATGAGGATGATAATGGTAGCACATACCTTCTAGGGTTGTTGCAAGCATAAAATTGGATGTTTGTAATGTTTTTTGCAAATCTTAGAGCACTATGTAAATGCTAGTTATTGCCAGCACATCATTGATTGAAGACATCATACAAATGTTATTCAAGAGTATGCAGCTAAGAAAACTAAAAAAAAAAAATCAAAAGGCGCAAATGAAAACAAAAATGAAAATTTAGGCAATAAAAGAGATAAACAAAATTGAAAATTAAAAAGCATCAAATTAGTAAATATAAATAGAACTTTTTGGGAAAAGATAAAGCATCAGCAAATTTGATTTAAAAAAGAAAAGCAAATCAACAATATAAAAAAATCCAAAAGCAGAATTCATAATAAGTAAAGACAAAGTAAAGGAAATTATTAGCCATTATGTTACCCAATAATATGCTAAAAAAGATCTAATAACAAAAGAAATTGATGATTATTTACAAAAACTCAGATTAATCGAACAAGAAATAGGGACATCATGTAACCCAGTGTCAGAAGAAGAAATTGAACAAGACATAGATGAACTCCCAAAGGAAAAAAAAAACAGAATCAGATGGCTTTACTAGTGATTCTATCACATGTTTAAGAATTAACTCTAATGTTCATAAATTATTTTGAAAAATAAGATATCCTGGCAAATTCTTTTAAAGAAACAAGTATGGTCTTCATACTTAAACCAGGAAGAGATAAATCATAGTAAAATTACTACAGACCAGTATCTTTAATGAATATTGATGCAAAAAATATTGAATAAAATGTTAGCAAAGAAGCTATAGCAGCATATTAAAAAGATTATACACTAATATCAGGTGAGACTAATGCCTAGAATATAGGGATGTTTCAATATTAGAAAAATATGAACATTAAAAATAGAAATCATTTTATGTCAATACAGAAAAAGTTTTCAAAAAATATAATCCTTTATGTTAAAAATACCCAAAAGCCTAGGAATAAAAGGGTATATTCCCCCAATGGCAAACAGAAGATATTAGACACTAATGTCATATCCATAATAGCATTATACATAATAGTAAAACATTGGAAGCCTTACTATACTAAGATCAGGAGTAAAGCAAGGATGCCCATTTATTTAATATATTTGTACTATTATTTAATATAATTCTAGAAATGCTAGCTATAGCAATAAAACAAGAAAAATAAATTCAGGGAATATACACCAGCAAAGAATAAACTTTTTACAGATGATAGGATGTTTACCTAGAGATTCTAGAGATTCAGTTAAAAAATTAATTGAAACAATAACTTCAGTAAAGTAGCAGAATATAAAATAAACACAAAATCAACATTTCTGTACATAACTAATAAAATCCAACGGGAAGATATAGGAAAAGAAATCCCATTCAAAATAACTATAGGATTTATAAAATATCTGGGGGTCCATCTAGTATGATACCCCTCAGATTTATTTTAATATAAGTA